TGTCGTCGATCGACCTCATTAACATCATCATCTGACCATTAAATACTATTTTATAGCAAAGTCACCTCTAGAAAGGAAAGTACATGTACATATAATATCASAGTTACGTTCACTGACTGATATAAATTTTTCAAATATTGAATTAACACAAAACTGCATAGTTTTGACTACATTTTAAAAATATAATAAGAAAGCAATAATTTGAAAAATTCAAGTTTGATTTTTGTTGCTTGTGCCTACAGAAGTAGTCTCCTTTGCATCCGTTCATCGTCGGGACAGGAATCCCGAAACGCAAACGGATGCGAAGCAACGCCAACTCTTCAAAGGCGAAAATACATAATTGGATTTTTAAATTTTCTCACGAAAAATACACAGCAATGTCACACATACATTTTATTTCTTAAATCCGGTGCTAGGTTTTTTATTAACAAAACTAGACGCATAACTGCGTAAACTCGGGGTTCTTGTTGATAAAATAGTAGTGAATTTGGTAAGGCTCGTTTACACTTGCGTGTTTGACATCATATATTTACTATATAATTCGCTTTTGATAAGATAGGTAGCTAGTTTGATAGACAATTCATGATATGCAGTAAAATAAATATCACAATTTTAATAACTTAAAAGTCATTTAGAGAAATTAAAAAAATAACTGTGTCTACGCCAACGGCTTCGTTTTATTAAAAGAACATGAACAAATATCAAGACAATAACAACAATCTTATTATGTCATCATGTAAGACAAAATTAAGATAAACCTCTTTTGACAGATTCGATGATAAACAACCCATCTTAGCTTTCTACTTTTGTTATGTAAGCGTCTTAGAAATCGTTTTGGTATCCTACTGGGCTCTCGACTACGACTACAACTTACATGTCGATAATTATAATAAACAAACCTTGAATAACGAGATCTTGTAGTACTTGTAATGTTTATTGTAACTTCTACATCATTGTATACACCTGTTGTGGTTCAATTCAATATTAGACTTTATTGCTTGTAATTTCGGTTCATTCGATTCAGGTCGGGTCGGGTCGAGTCGTGTCTTTTTACCTACTTCACAATATTCTTCACTTGAATTTATATGATACACTTATGTTTACATAGAGTGATGCAATCGGTTGCATCACTCACGCTTATATGTCAAAACTATGTGATAATGCATGCGAGACTAAACAACACCATAAACAGTCATACAAATAGTTTTATCTAAGATATCACAATCGCTAAACGATGAAGTGACAATATTTTGAGTGTAGTTATCGAAGAATTGGACTTTATTGAACCCTAATAAAGTTGATATCAATACTATCATACTATCATAAGGGTAAAGCAAAAAATATTTCCTTGAATGAAAAATAATAACAGAAGCAATGTAGTTAGCATTAAGGAAGAATTGATAGTCTTTGTCAAGCTCTCCTCACTTTGATAGGCACGTGGCTTTTATCCTCTCTTATAAATAAAATAGTTGCAATCGTCGGTTTTTCCTCAGTGAATTCTGTTCGCATTCCTTAGAGAAGYCCTTTGTATTTTCAGAGCCTGTAGAATCAGTTAGTATAGAGTTCACTTTTGATAAGAATGGTTCGAATTTCACGATAAGTTTCCGATAAATTTCACAGATAAATTCGCGGTATCTCTCAAAATGYCCTTTCGAAAAACGCTCGACATCTTTTAGTGTGGCTATACCGCGAATSGTGTGTGGATTTGTAAGAGATTTGAGAGTGTTTGAAGTTGAATATATGTCTTCCATCTCGTAA